ATCGTTAGACCCACAAGATAGCGCCACGTAGGTCGAAAAGGAGTAAAAAATTATTAATAAAATAAGTTCAGGGGGGTAATAGGACCTTAGTATAGTATAAGTGTGTCTCTGAGATTTCGGGCATAGGTTGAGGGGGTACTTGGGCATTATCCCATAAATCATCTTGATGTATAATAATCATGTTAAAGAATGTAATTTAACGTTCTAAATCTAATTAACGTATCACTTGTATAAGTAAATTACAATGGAATCCTTGTGTTGAGGCGTTGGCTTGTTGAGGAAGAAGGAAACTGACGATTGGAACATATCAAAGGAACAGATCCAACGCAGTTGACTAACGACTTGTCTACAACAAGTGGTCTTCCTTGATTTCTCTCTAATCAACACTTGCTGTAGATAAGTCAGTCAACTGCGTTGGACCTGTTCCTTTGATATGTTTCAATCGTCAGTTTCCTTATTTCTCAACAGGGCTAGCTCTCTTGTGTACGTTTCAAAAATCGTAAATGCTCATGAAAACTTGATGCAGTCGGTCTTCCATGCATTTGTCTTGTATTGTTATTAATCATGCCAATATATAACGAAAAGTTTGACATTTTAATTTCTTGAGGAAATATAGATGACTTATTTCCTCACGTATTCTAGTTATTGTGCTAGCAAACTATAAAATAAGTCGATTTTAAAAGTTTAAAACTGTTGCAACACTATATTTGGAACTAAAAGTTTTCATTTTTTTTTCTTCACTTAGCTAAACTAACTTATATAATCTTCAAATATACCTTTCTACCGCAATGCATATATAATTAATTAATTTTTATACCTATAGATAAGTAAATTATTTGACAAAATTTAATTAGTATTCTAACAAAAAAGATGGAGTGGTAAATATATACTAGTAGTAAGTTAGAATTCACTGGCAGTTTAACTTCAAAATTATACAAATGTGAAAATGATAAGATGATGATCATATCACATCATGTTTGTTGCAGATGATTGGGATTGATGGACAAAGCTAGCTAGGAAAAGTAACATGGAGGGGGAAAATATATCGAGACGAGTCAGATTTAGAATTTAATTTTATATATATTTGTGCATGTTTATGTATAAAATTTATTAAAGTTTTTTGAATTTGTTGATAATATTATAGATACGTTACTGGTCGAAAGTCCAAGATGTGAGGAATTGAACCTTTATGAACAAGGTTGAGAGTTCGAGTAGCCAACAAACTGAATTACTAAAATTCTCTAATTTATTAGAAGTATCAAATAAGCGTGTTGAGTTGAATTCAGTATCATCCTTAATGTCTATAGCAAACATTGTTTTGTTAAAATGAATAGCAAGCCACTTTTCAATTTTTGTAATTAAAAAAAATTATTGTCGTAAAGTTTTAAATTTTATGAAACTTTGGGACATTATCAATTGTAAAATTTTAAAACCTTAGAACATAATATAATTATTTTCTAAAGACTGAACTAAAAGTGATCCGTAATTATTTTTTAAAGATAGAACTAAAAGTGACCCGTGAACGATATTTCTATTTAAAATCTTGTATATATTTGAACATGGTGGGCATTGGGCTCCAATGTCTTTCTTGATTGGACTATGAGATTTTGTTTTTAATATATTTTATATAAAAAAATATATATACATAAAGGAAAAAAAAAATGAAATGGACTTTTTAAAATATATAGCACATTGTATAGTAAAAATATTACTACTATTAGTCACTACTAGCCAGGTAACATTAGGTCCACATTTATTATACAACTTGTTCTATTTTGTTTTTTGTTTTTTCGCAAGTCGAAGCTTAAATTATTTTTTTTAAAAAAAATATCGTGCGTAATACATCTCGTGCTTATATAGAGTTTGGAAAAGAGCTATACCCTAAGACTACGATGTAGCAATCAATATTTATTGATTTCATGTTTACGCAAGATCTGAAGAAGGGAATAAAATTTATAGGAGCCATAAAAATAAAAGTGGAGTTTTTTTTTCTTAGCCCTTGTAATTCAAATTCACAAATATCATTTTTTTAGCCGTTGTAATTGAAAAATAACTACCCTAAAAATGAAATTTCAGAGTCTCGTCATATATGAACCTGAAATTTCAAGATAATGATTGTTTATACAAAGACTTTCAAGATAATGATTGTTTTTTCAAAGACAGTGTTGAGAAATGACCGATAGTAACAATGGCTTTCAAGATAATGATTGTTTTCCAAAAACACAGTTGAGAAATAACCGATAGTAATCGATAATCTATATTTCTACACCAAAAAGATTATCAACAACAACAACATACTAAATGCAGTTGATATTACCAATCGAGAAGTGAATGCAAATACGATATCTCGATAAATTTTTAAAATAAAATTCATACACTTTAAATTCTGACGGTCGAAAACGGATTAGGTTTGGTTTTGGTCGTGTGGTTGGACTGCAAAAGTCCCAAAAGGCAGAGTACATAAGCACTTTCTGGAAGACTGCATGCATATATGTTTTTTCTCTGCAATACTCTGTGTAAGTAAATTCACGTGTGCTCTGCAAAACCAGCTACTAACAACCCCACCCCCACTCCCTTTGTTTTTTTTTTACGTAGATAAAAAAAATAGTTTGATATATAAAATATTTCGTATTCATGTAGAATTTGTATACAGGTTTTCCTCTAAAGATTAATATGACATAGAGTCGAAGGCAATCTATATATATATATATATATATATTGATATAAGTACTAGTGATTGTTTTTATAGGTTTGTTTTTGACGCGGTCAAATGGACAATCTAGTAAATAAAACATCTAATGTTCATATAGGGTTTGTTTTTTAATGGTTGTTTCCACGACTCGGTTTTTCATGTGGTCGTGGATCTAAATTTTAGATATTGCGAGGTATTTTGAATAAAAGACTAAGTTATAAATGTATACTTATAAGCTCTACATGTATTTTTGTATGTATATTATAAGGTTCGATAGTAGAGAGCGTCATACAAAATTCTGCAAATTAACTTGTGAATCGTTGGTTAGATTCAATAGTAGACTGGTTAGTTGAATATTCTTTGACGAAAAAAATATATCATACATTAATACAACTTTGTATATACTACGCTAAACTAAAACTTTAACTTCAAATATTTTAAAAATAAAGAAACGAACACACGCTCATCAATCGAGGTATCGAATAACTATTAAAGCTTATTGGGCTTATGAGAAAAAAGCCTTATTGGGCTACTATCTAAGAGATATTGGGCTTTGCTAATTAGTGTTGTGTTGGGAAGAGGTATTGGGTGTCATTGTTGGTGGGCTTTGGAGGGTGGAAATATCGTGAAAATAGCGTTCATTGATCACTTTTCGATCATTGTATTTTGAAAAAATAGCTACTATATTGAAGTTTCAAATTTCATATGTGAAAACGGTATGTGATAACGTTTTGAAGCTTCATAAATCTGTTGAATTTGAAACGTCACGATCGTGATTCTATTTCAATCATATAGGTTAAAAAATTTAATATTTATACATGTTTAATAAACTACTTAATACAATACATTATTTGAGCAAAAAGTACTGAATTCGATCAAATCAATATCCAGATTACTAGCTCCGCCCCTAGGTGAGAGGTGGGGGGGGGGGGTTGAGTGAAGAATCAAAACTAAATTAAACTATGCATGAAAGCAAAGAATATATGCTACAATAAAGTCCATAGGAGAATTTTTTAATGAAATTTTATCTGTTAAATTCCAGTAAAAATTAAGTATATAGTAATATTATTGCAACACAGTATATTCCAAGTGACACATTTTATTATTCTAAGAATTTCCTACCACTGACAAATTTTAACTTATTTAATAAATATTTAAATAGCACTTTTAAAAATGACAAAAGAAGTATAAAATATAATGTTTTCATTTAGTATATATAAATATTTATATATATATTTTTCTGCCTGCTCCAACTATATTATATATTTTTAATTTTACAAATAATTAAACGTGAAACTTTAGAAAAGATTCTTTGCCTTGATAAAACGCATTCCACTTTGTATTTTATCCTCAAAGTTGTAAGCTTATGGAATATTTTTTGTGTGTTCCAACTAAAATATTCTCAAGTAAATTATTATAATAAGCATTTAATTGGCAACTACGTAAAAACTTGTTATCACATGTTAAACTATAAGAAAAGTAATAAATATTTACATTGTTAATGTCTATAATTTAAATACACAGAATATTATTGGTTTGAAAAGGAATTCTGAAACAACAAAAAATTATCTATGTTTAACATGTAAGTCACAAGTTCAAACCGTAACAACTATTGATGTTTACATCAATATGCTACTAACATTATACCTTCTTAGGGTGCATTTATTTTCTCGTACCCTGCATGAACTTGAAATATTTTTTTAATCTTCAATCGCTATTCTTTTAATGTGCATAGGGTAAAAGTCCTGTTCTTATGCAATAGTCCGCAAGTTACATAAAAAAATAACTCGCGATAGATAAAACATGAAACGTTTCATACACCGAAATAGATTGTGAAGTTCATTAAAGGAATAAAGGGAAAAGAGATAGAAAACAATAATAATTAAAGAACATGAGGTCAAAAATAGGGGACCAAAATGGGACTACAATGTGCCTAATAATTATTCACCAGCAAAAAGTTGATTTATTTTATTAAAGGCTCATTAACGAGGAAGTGATTATTAGGAACTTTTTATTTTAAAAATTAAAATTTAAGATATTTGATTAAGATTAAAAGAATCCTTCGTTTTTATTTCAGTTTCAGTTTTGATTTCTTAGTTTTTTTCACTGCGCAACTTATCAAACGATTTCTTATTATGTTGCATTTGATCTTTCGCTTCAGTCTGTATATTTTTGCATAGCTTAAATCCGATGTTAATTTTCGATTCAAATATCAATTTTAAATGTAGAGCTAGCACTTGTCATCTGATTAGTTCATCTATTATTACTGAAAACCCTAAACAATTATTCATCTGCCTTATCTCACAGTCCCAAAACAAATTTGAATTTCCTCTTCTATTTTTTTTTATCTACCCCACCACAAACCTTAATAAGTAGTTTTCTAGTTACTTTTGACAAAGGGTATCTCTTCATCTTCAACTTATTGACACTTTTGTTTCTTTTCATTTAAGCTCAATTCTCCATCTTTTTCACCATTAATATCCATTTCATCTTCCTATTCCCATTGAACTTCAACCATCACAAAGCAAAACAAAAGATGTTGACACTATTAACCATTCTTTTCTTAGCATTTCTCTTCATTATTGGCCTTATCACAACAATTTTCAATTTCCCAACTAACAAGTTCCACTCTTTAATTCAATCAATCTCACTAGAATCTCAACCTCTCCAAGAAAGGACCATAACAACACCCCCATCATCATCATCAACAACAACATCCATGGTTGATCAAAAGAAGGCAAAAAGCTTTAACAATTACAACAAAGTTGAACTAAGGGGTATATTTGCAACTTTTGACAAGAACAATGATGGTTACATAACAAAGCAAGAATTGAAGCTATCTCTAAAGAATATTGGGATATTAATGGAGGATAAAGATATTGTTGATATGGTTGAGAAAGTTGATACAAACAAAGATGGTTTAATTGATCTTGATGAGTTTTGTGAACTTTGTCATACTTTCTTGGGAATAGATGGAGTGGAACAAGAAGGTGAAATGAATGAAGAAGAAGTTGCTAATAAAGAGAGAGATCTTAAAGAAGCTTTTGATGTGTTTGATCATGATAAAGATGGATTAATATCAGAAGAAGAATTGAGTAAGATACTTTCATCTTTAGGAATGAAAGAAGGTAAGAAATTGGATCATTGTAAAGAAATGATAAAGAAAGTTGATGTTGATGGTGATGGAATGGTGAACTTTGATGAGTTCAAGAAGATGATGAAAGCTTGTGGAACTCTTGTTCCATTTTCTTAAAGCAACCATATACCAATTGAAGAAAATTAACCTTTTGTTACAAGCTATACAAATTACTAGTATTCTTTTTGTAATCTCTCTCTTGTTATAAACTCGAGATGATAAACTCGTTCTTTCTATTCTTCTCCATTTTAATACTGAACTTAGTTCGCTTGATGCAGAACTTGGATTTGTACTGCCTAATGTTATGATGATATACTAGTATTCATTCATTAGTTACAGGTTCGAATCGTGAAAGCATATACTAGTGCTTGTAATAGGGTAGACTATCTAGATAACAACCCGAATCCTGCATGAACACAGGATGCTTTGTACACCCTTTTAGAATTCATCCATGAGACTTCATTTAGAGTATCAAGATTTTGAAACTTTGTCAGTTTCATGAGATTTACAGCCCATGGCAATGTTATTCCCATTGGATTGTGTCTATTTACTCTATATATCATATACATGTGAGAATTTTAAAGGTAAAAGATGGAGCAGAAATTGAATCCGACGAAAGAAACAAATAAAGCATAACAATCATGTGTTGAACATCTTCTTAAAAGCAGAAGAAGAAGAATAGAACTGTATGAACTTTGGATACTCTAATTGAAACAACAGCAGAAAAACAAATAAAAACTTGTATGAACAGAACAAAGTACCCTTTGTCTAGTAACTGCAGAAGGGCACTTTGATCAATAGACAGAAGTTCTAGCTTAATATCGTCATTCATCTCTAGGAAACACTTGCTGCTACTGTGACGATAGGATACTACTGTTGCTACCTATGTATGTTACACAGCCAATAGGGACATGACACATACTAAAAGACATCGGGGTTGAAACGCCCTGGAATGGAGTTGTTGCTTTGTTGAGCTTGCTTGAGGTGCATCGTGAGAGCATAGTTATTGACCTGATGACACAGAAAGGCCAAAACAACCAATGATAAGCGGTGTCCAGAATAGTAAGACAAGAAAATGATGAAACTTGTGATCGTAAACCCCGACAAGCATCTTATTTCATTCGGTTATAGTGAAAGCATGGACAGAATGAGAAGCAATATGCAATTTCCAGCAAAATAAATGAACCACAAAAATATCAGCAGTTCTAAGAGAAATTTGACCTCAAGGGTTCTAAGCTGCTCCTGGTACTGAGCCACCGACTGCTTCAGCTGATTCAACTCGTTCCCTCTATTCTCGAATTCCTTTTGACGCTCATGCTGGATGGCAACTGCTCGCTTGAAAATAGCATTCTCTTGTACAAGAGCTTCTAACTGCTGCTTGAGCATCATATTCTCCTGTATCACAACTAAACTATAAGCATATGGATATGGATAACAATTTGCTCTTTGAGTAACAAACTTCATCAAAATAAGATGTACGAGTAACAAACCAAAATAAACAAGATAATCAGTCTGTCCTATGGGGCTATGCCAGCAGAAACCCAATGTTAACGAACATTGTTTTTTTTTTAAAAAAAAGGGATGGGGGAAGGGGGACACAAGAAGGTCACAATGACCGAATATTACTAGCTTATTGCCCAATGAGACACAAGCACTCAACATATAAAATCTCACCCTTTCAGAATAACTATTTTCTTTACGTTGACATTGAAGTAAAAAAGCACACTTCCCAGTTCTATATAATACTTATTTTCCTTTTTCTCGTATTTAAGCAATTTGTTCTTTGTTGCATTCCTTCATTTACCTCTTATTAAGGTCCCCCAAAAGTAACTGTGCACTATATGACCATAGTAAGTGTAGACATGAAAAAGAAAATAAGAATGAAATATGACAGGGTGTTTGTAACGCATACAAAATAAAAAGAGATGTCAGGGTGTTTATAATGCAGGAAATAAATACGTAAAAGAACTTGGGGCCCACCTTCTGGAAACGGCAGGCTGCCTCTGTTGCACGAGCACATATGGTCTTCTCAAAAGCCTCCAGAGCTCGTGAAGCACGCGCTTTAGCATCATCTATGTTTGATGCACTCATCATCTCTCCAACAAAAAGATCCACCCATTCTGTACCCTGCAAATGCACCACTTCTGCAGAAGATAAATCCTCTGCAGATGGGGTCTCACCATTAGTTGTAGCCACACCTGCAACAAGGTGAAGGAACTATGTCAATGTAAGAGGAAATCAGAATTGTGCCAGCAAATCTACATCCAATGCTTTAAAAAACAAAAAATGAATGTAATATTAATAGCTTAATATCAGTGGTGAAGATCACTCGTCACAAGTAAATCAAGATGGAGACATAAGTTACACAGTTTTCAAATACATTCAGCAAAGCAAGGTTGGAAACAGTTATATTTTATGGTAGAGAAGCAATTTCTTTTAAGTCCTCCCATCTTTTCATTACAAGGTTGTCTGGTGTAATTATTTAGCAGTAGAGATCACACAGAGAATAGTTAAACGATGAATTTACCTCTTATTGTCTGATCACGAGACAAAAAGTAAGCGGATTAGCAGCAATAGTTTTCAAGAAACAAGACCTTTATATTCCAATAAACTGAACAGCTTACTCTGACCAAACTTAACTGTGTCATGAAAAGAGTGTGCCGGTCTTTAACCAAAACTCTGATTCCCTTATTGACTACTCAATCTTTTTTAGTTGAATCACAACCATAAATAAGGCACTTTCATTGTTTAATTTCCTATATTACTACTAATTCTTTCCCTTGTACTTCCACTCAATGACACAATACTAATTGGCCTTTCACCACCTAACAACAACATAATACCCAGTGTAATTACACAAGTGGGGTCTGGGGAGAGTAGTATGTATGTAGCCTTACCCTACCTTGTGCAGGTAGAGAAGTTGTTTCTGGTAGATCCTCGGCTCAAGTAAAATTGGCCCTTTACCACGAGCAGAAAAAAAAAGTAACTGAGTAATGTCTGTATAAGCTTATACAAAGAATAATCATTAAAGGTAGAAATTTTAAAGAGATGAAGCTATCACAAGAACGACCATGCTATTAGATACTTCAGCAGTTAGTTGGGTTAAGATACATAAAATGGTGGTTTGTTAGCGCAAGCAAAGAAGCAGATAAAGCTCCACCATAAATATCAAGCAACTTTACAAGTATGAAATTGCCGAAACAAAGCAAGATGACAAGTTAATAATATGGACCACAAGTGACCACATGCTAAATTTAAGAACAAAAACCACAAATTGTGAAACATTAAAATGATAATAAGCTACTTGAACATTCGCAATTGAAATATCTCCAAAATTGCTACATGTTATAGAGCAGAAGTAGTCAAGTAGGTGAGTTGACAGGACACTGACAAACATTTTAGAAAATGGAAAAATCAATAAAGTGCAGTACTTGGCGTAAGAAAGGGCAGAATTTAAAATAGATGAATGATGACATCATGTGGAGTTTTTTGTTTGTTAAAATTCTAAGTATTATTGATGTCAAAACCAACACTTAGAAGTGTCATGATTACATCAAAAAAGTAATTACAAAAGATTCAAGGGTCATTTGGTTGGGAACATGTTATCCTGGGATAAGTTATCCCACCATGTATATGGAATAGATTATCACATCATTATGGTAATTGGTGGATAAATAATCCAAGGACTACCTAATACCTCCAACCAAACACAGAAATAATCCTGCATATTATCCTGGGATTATTATACCTTATACAAGAATGTTTAAAAAAAGGAAATTCAGTGCACAAAGCACCTGAGTTAGCAGGGAGCAGGACGGCACTCCAATAGTGGCTGCTTACACCAAAGAATTAACATATGGATTTGCTGAGCATTACAAAAAGATCAACACTAAAGCATACTACAATGGGTAGGAAGTTGAAAAAGTGATCTCTAAAATGATCTCAGTCAAGGCAACAACACCAAAAGGGGGAATAATCAATCACCAATCAAAAACAAACAAAAAAAAATCAATGTGCACCTTGAGGAAAAACCTGGCTGCTGAACTCATGTGTAGCACCAGAGCTTCCTGCCACAGGCCTCAGATTATCACCAGATCCCAAGCAGAGCTCATTCAGGCGTTTGATAGCAGAATCTAGATCATCACCGGATTCTTCAAGTGCTCTCTCAACCAACTAAAAAATCAAATCTCTAGCTTAAGTTTTCTCTTTTTAAGGTAAATAAAGAAGATAAAATGCGAGATATCTAATGCAAATAAATGTTTTCATGCCCGAAATTGAAGAGTTAAACATGGAAATTCTTTTAAATAAAAAAACAACAACAAATGTTAGATGCATCAGTGATATCACAAGATGACGGTAAGCAGATCACATACCATTTGGAACGCAAAATTGATAGCAATCCTCCTAGACTACCAGAATGCACATTCAAAAATCAACCAGAATGCACATTCAAAAATCAACAACTTATGTCATCAAAAGAAATGCAAAGAGGAGTTTTGAAATTGCACGGCGAGAGATCAACTGAAGTAAAATTGACTCCACCAGCAGGAAACAAAAGAAACAACTTCTTCTCCCTTATTGGTATTTGCCTTCTATTTTGTAACGTAAGCTAAAGAGTCGACCGACAAAATCATATATGATATGCATTAACAGTATCCCTGAGAAGGATGCACTTTTTCTATTCTTCTTAAGTGAAAAGGAAATTTGGAATGTTGTACTTGACGGTTCCTCAATATATCATGTTATGTTACAAGATAAAACATGACGCTTGTTCTTTTCGAACAAACGCTAATCTTTTTTCACCCTATGAACTTTTATTGGTTTTGACACCCTTATATCATTTCCATCATTCTTTTATTATTGTCACACCTAAAGTAGGTGGATTAGCAACTCTAGTAAGCATTCATTAATTTTGCAACACTTTTAGCAAATGAGTGATTAAAACCACATAATTTGTGTCAAAGTTCTTTTTATCCTAGTCATAGACTTGTAAAACTATATGGGATAAGAAGTGTGAGGCCTAAAGAACCTCTAGCTCTAGAGAAACCCCCTAATTTACCTTCAAAGACGAATTATTTATCATTTGAATGAAATAGACCTGAGTGAATGGATACAAGACTCATACAACCGACTCCGACTAATTTGGAATAATATAAAATTAAAGGTATAGTTGATTGATTGAGAACAAAAAATAAATAATGACAACGATGATAATAATAACAAAAGTAAAGAACACAACTACTTTGCCACTGCTGATGTTCAAAAATTGTGTGCTAATTATGCATACTCACGTGTTGTTTACACCACTCTCTTTCTTTCCTACCTCTTCGTGTCGTCATTGTAAAAGTGTGCTAATTATATAAGCATACTCACGTGTTGTTCACACCACACTCTTTCTTTCCTATCTCTTTGTGTCGTCATTCTAAAAATGTGCTAATTATACATACTTAAGGGACTATTTCTGCTCCATATAATAGAATAGGGATGATTTTGATTCAGAGTCCAAACTTAAGGGACAATTTTGGTTTTTTCTCACTAAGAGGTTCTAGAACCTACCACTTGTCAAAAATTAAGTCCTTGATGGATGTTAGGAATTCCATCCAAATGAACAAAAAATACCTGGTAACGAGGTACAGATAGACCCAACAAAGTTTAACTGATTTTTCGTGTGTGTTTTCTCCACCGAATTCCATGTTTATTTCCTACAAATATCCAGCACTTCACACCGTGTATTAACACACCACATGAAGTTACAAGAACCAAAAAATAATAATGTGGCATCGCTTAGGCCACTTTTACTTTTCCAATTCTATATTATGTTAGTTTAGTGCACCCAGGAGGTTCCCATATGTATAGATGATTAGGTGTTGTTTCGGGAGAACCATATCTTTTATAAGGTTTTCTAATTTTTGGTATACTACTTGCTACACTCATTGTTTTGTACCTACTTCAGTAAATTATTACTTTATATAGAAAAAATTATGTTAGTTTAGTCTGTTCCTTAAAACAATCTTCTACTTTTATCTAAAGATGTTCTTTAACTTGATTACAGGAGACTCGATATACAGCACTGCTATAAATTTGTTAAGTATTTGCAAAGCCTATCTTCCCTTTTTCATTTACTCATTTTTATTTGTAAATTCAAAGTTACAGGCCAGAAGAGAAACTTCATGACATATATAAGTTGTTGAAATTACAGAACATATCAAACAAAAGGGCTTCAATTCATATACTGAAATCTAACTAAAAGCTAGCTAACTCTTCTGCTCCCTTCCCTCTTCCTCCATTGGAGGAGACTTGCAGAGAAAGTGCAGTTAATCAATCAACTTATCGGCCCGGTTCAAAGACTAGGACAATATGTTAGCCTCACAAATGAAAGCACAAATTCCTACAGTGTAAAGTGATAGATCTCCAGGAGTCTAACTTAAAACAATAAGGAGCAGACGGAAGACAATCTTGAAATAATTATGCTGGTTGTATGCCATGAGAAGTCAGCAAGAAGTTCAACACTAAAAGGATAAAAACAATCATAAAATAGGACTTCAGACAGCTAATTATAGGCAAATATTCATCTAGCGAATTCAATTACAAAACCACCATAATCCTCAACAAGGAAGTACATGAAGCTACCCCTTTAGTTACACACCTCGTCCAGTTTATGCAAAAGGTGTGCCCGGAAATCAGCATCAGCTAACTCATTAATCAAAAGCACATTCCTCTAGTTCCCACTTACAACATCATAAGAAATACATCAACAAACAAACCAGATCACTCAAAAGGTACCCTCCGTACCCCAAAATAGCGAAATGAAGGATGCAGTAAGCATTTTTTCGAACAGAGCTTCTACAAAATAGTAACTTTTATTTTTCTATAAAGACAAGTTCAAAACTAGCTTCTTCTTTTTTATAATGCCAACTTGCACGCACCTAGACTGATTCCACCGGTACCTGCTACCTCCAACTATCAGCACAGATACTGAATAACTCACAAATCCAATATTTTTATGGAAACATTGCTTGTCAAGTACAATCAGACTAAAGGATTTTTACAATTGCTTTACTCTTGCCATATCAAAAGCCAAAAAAACAGATAAATCAAGCTTATCCGATACTTTTGCCCAACAGATTATATAATTTTACAACGAAAAATCTCATAAACAATATGAAACTCTAAACAATTGATTGAAACAATTAAAAAAAGATGAAGAAGTAAACCTGCTTGTCCGTGTCAGAGAAAATCATGAGAAGATGATCGAGTGCCGACGATGCAATCAAATTACCACACAAAACACGATCGGAATCAGAATTAGACCTCGCCGGAGAAAAATTACGGCGAATCCTCTTCGAAACCGGCGTTGACGCAGACGACGACGACTGAAAATCCTCAAACAAATTCGATCTCTTCCCGCACAATATAGCAGACATGATGTGCCGGAAAAAAATTCCTCTTTCAGATTTCTCCGATCAAAAGTTCCTCTTTTCCCGTTCCGATCATGCAGATTTATAAATTCAAAAAAAAATTAAAAAATCAAAAAAATTAAGAAAAAAAAATATGGTCGAATTGCTAAAATTTGCTATGAATCTATGAATAATATTTTGTAAATAAAAAGAAAAAAAATAATAATTTTTCTCTTAAATTCTCTCTCTTCACGAGAGAGATTACAGCTTCTTCAACTCTGTAACAATGGAGATTGAACATTTTGAACAATTGTGTAACGGAGAATCAACTGACGGGGAGTTTACGAGTGTTTAATGACGGACTAATAAGAAAATGACAAGTGTCATGTCATTATAGGATAAAGTGGATTAAAGTGTAATTTTGTTGATGGATTTAAGTTGCGTTATTTCGAGATTCTTTTGGAAATAACTTTTTTACCTTCGAAAATAAGGGTAAGAGTTTTATGTATATCTACAATCACCGACCTTAGTTCGTAGGATTTTATGGATTATGTTATTATTATTATTAATACCTTTACCTTGCGTTAAAAAGGTTGTTTTTAATTAGAGGTTTTAGTGATCTGAAGAAAACATATCAAATTAGGTATGAAAAAGGAAATAAGCAACACATATTACTATCTTCGTCTGGTTTTAATTGTCATGCATGGTTTTCTTTTCTAGAGTCAAATGATAATAACTTTGACTAACAATTTACGATTTTTTTAATCGTATTGATATGTAAAAAATGAAATTATTAGTACTTTTCGTATAGTTTTTGAATATTTAGATTTTTTGTTTAAAACATCAAATTAATGTAATCTTATTTAATTTTAAAGATTGGTTAAATATATTTTTAAAATACGCTACATGACAATTAGAAGTGAACTAGAGAGGGAGAGGGAGTAACAACAACAAATATTATGATAAATTGATAATCTTACTATTTTGCATTGATTGTGTATCTAATGTTTAATCCAACCAATCAAATATAATGATTTAAAGCTAGCAATTTTCATCTAAATATATATACTCAAATATGAGTTGTGATTTTATTATCAAGAACAAAAAAAGCAAAAAGGAGAAGCCTTGTAGACAAATGTAAACTTACCATGGACAAGAAAAATGAACGAATGAAATGATACATAATAGGAAGTGATATCGGGTTTGAGCCATTGAGAAAGAAATATATTTTATTGAGAACGTTGCCTTTTAAAGAAATGAATTTCATAATGCGCTATTTTGGAATTAATTGGTCATCAGATGGGAAATACGGAATGAAAATAAGAAGTGATATTGGCGCGGCTCAATCTGAGATCGTTCTTTACGAAAATAAGCATAAATTCGTCTTCGGATTGAACCTCACCAACATCGCTTCTTCCATTTTAATCCCAAAATATTTTGATCAACCATTCAAACTTTAAAAAAGATATTGACATAGCGGTGAGTGAGAACGATCTAATATATCGCGGATTATGATAGAACGGATAGAATTTTTTTTCCAGAAGAATATTCTAGGTGGTTTTACTTTCATTTTTGAATTCTGAAAATGAAGAAAAATCCTAAAGAAAAGGATTTCTCTTCTGATGGACCTTATAAAGAGTGAAATCGTCCAAATAATTAATCAAAGCTTTAATACAAATATAGAGAGATGAACTAGAGATTAACTCATTAAGAGCTCAAACCTAATACTACTATATATATGGCTCTAGAGTTCAAAAATCAAAACTAAAAGTTTCTTCAAGATGATTGTTTAATAAGAAAAAAATTTCACCCTATATTAAAGGAGGACAATCAATCCAAACTAAGATTTAAATTTTTCAAGATGGCAAATGAATCAAATTCAAATAAAATTAACCTCGAGAGACAAGACATGAAAGTATTGCGCTACGTAAAGAGTGAGCATCTGCTATATGAAAGTATCGGAATATATAAAGAGTAGAATCTGCTATATGAAAGTATCGCGATATATAAAGAGCGAACATTTGTTATACAAAAAAGAGAAAAGAGGATATATAAGAGGGAAATCAATAACATGCATGACTATTGAGTTCTAAAATAACTATGGATAACTAACAAAACTTCAAAGTCTATATATATATATATATATACATAAAGATGGCAAAGAGAAAGAAATGATGACAATGAAGGAGGATGTATAAAGTGTAGGGTTTTAATAGTTGCCTTGGGATGAGAATTAAGGAGAAGAAAGAATGTGAGGGAAATGATGTCAATTAGGTAACAACTTGCTTTAGTATTCTCATGATTATTTAGATAATATTTAATTTTAAAAATTTCTATATATTTTATATGACGATATTTAATTGATCAGATATATAATTTCTTTTTCTAAAAGTTTTTCAAAATTTGTACCAGTATAAAACAAGTCATAAATATTGATATGAGTTATGATCGTGGATAATTAATGATAAAGTTAAGTTAAAATTTAAATTATGTTTTTATACATGCATGTAAACATGATATATATATTGGGTATAGAAAAAAAAATGTGATCACATAAATTAAGATAGAATACTTACTCACACAAGAAAGAAGTCACAAATTTAAGTTATAATATATCGTCAATCTATCCTTTAAAGAATATTTTACACTATATATATTATTGTTATCTTTTGTAGAAGGTAAAATATACTAAAAAAAATTATAGGAATTAGTTATGAATATTATCGCTAAATTATCACTAAATTACTTAATGTGAACAGGATTTTTTTTATTATCCAACACTAAAAATCAATTTATTTATACTACTTAAAACTCAAAAACTCACACATGCAAAAAAAAAATGTCTTTTTTGGCATGCACCTGAAATATTCTCTTAAGAAATTAAACAAATACAAAAGAGACCCCCTTTTTATTGTTAAGTGTAATATGTAAATTAAATTCACCTCTTTCTGACTGTTATTCTAATAATAATAATAATCACACTTTCAGATCACGCTTGCATGTCATTAATCATATGATCAGAAAATGAAAATAGTTATGTTGGCTTATCTAATTATAATTAATTACCTTTGAATATACTAAATAGTTATCTAATGTTTTTAATTTCATGCATGATTAATCAGAATAAACCAACATGGCTTACAAATTTCTATCCTTTGGGAGTAGAAATTTTTTGGTTCGAGAGGCGAATTCACGACTTGAAGACAGGGATAGAGCTTAAGAATCCCTTTTGACGGAAAATATCACTATATATGTGTGGTTAAAATCATTTTTAAATGTATATAATAGATGACGAACCCCTTTCGACTAGTTTATATGTTTACTCTTTTGGATTTCGAACCTCCTTATTGAAAATACTGGCTTCGCCATTGTTTGAAGATAGGGAGTACACTATAAATACTTGGGAGTGTTTTTTTTTTAAAAAAATGAGTCGTGTAAGGATCTAAATGTCTTCAATGTAATGTTTCAAGTCGATAAAAGTAATTCTATTCTTTTTGTTTTGATTTATGTGATACGTTTTGTTTTTCACGAATGATTATTGAAGTTATCGATTGAAATAGGAGTATTGGAATGTAACACGTTGCTTTTGAAAATTGATCGACTAGACTGGCTAATCGGCCAATAGAGTTGATCGATTTTGTAATCGGTATTTTGGATTTCAATTGGTAGACGTTGATTGATCGATGAAACAGAATACCTCTTTGACTAATTAGTTAAGTAAGAATTAATTCTCTTTTATTTTATTAAAAACTCGAACCATGTCAAGAGTCCAACCTCTGAATTTGGCTAAACTTATTATGAAACTATGCTATTCCGAGTCCCACATAACTAACATTATCATGACATTATATTATATCTAAACCGACGTGATTTACATGTAACGCTGAGGCTATATAGTCATAATAAGTCAAAGTTTGGACCACAAACATAATTGATTTAGTCATATTAAACTGGCAGTGTACTAAAGAAGGGCCAATTAAAAAAGATAACTTGTTATTCTTTTTGAATGCTATGATAACGTACTATTCTCTTCATATTGTATTTTATATATTTTAATTAGATATATATAGAGTTTAAGTTATATATTTTATATTTTGTTATATTTTAGTATAATCTATTTTATTTTAAAGATTAATATTGGTGTATCTATAATTTATTATCACTTTTAATTACTTTGTTAAATTACAAACCACTTATCTTATTTCAAGATACAAATCAATAGTTTAAGAAAGCTTCATAAATATCTTTATATTATTGACTCTCACATTTAATAATTATTATATAGCAAGTAATATAATTATCTTATTGAAATGCTCATCTAAGTTGCATAATTTTATTTTATTTTTGATTACTCTAATATATACTACAACAACTTAAAACATTTTTTTATAGTATTTTTTTTTTCAAAATTAAGTAAAAATCTTGGAAACATGTGTGCAGAATGTCAGTAAAAGTGTCTAGAAAAGAAGTTTCTAAAAAGTTTCATTTATTTTATTTTTATTTTTTGTTGGTGTACTTGTAAACTTTAATAAATATTACTTATTATCTTATTTATTTTTTCACAAAAAAAAAAAAAAAGACACACTAATTACACTACTTAATTTTTTCTCACACAAAGAGCGTAGACAACGGCGCCAAATGAGCCTTGCCTTGAGCCTTCATTAGGAGACACTTCTCTTGGTTTTGCTAATCCCGTATATTATATCGAAATTCGATTAAATATTAATTTATATAGATAAAATTTAATTTCGAAATTTCTATACAAGAATGAGAAAAGATTAATCTTGAAAAACTAAATTTTCTAGTATAATCGTAAACTCAATACTGAATCTTGAAGGAAAATCATAAATTTCTTGCTAAATGATATCTTTCAAAACTGAATCGTGATATTTTTTCATCACTCTTTCATAATTCTTTTTGATATAGACAATACGAATAACAATTAAAATTTTATGTATCGTTAGAATAAATATATAATGCCTATCTACGTATTAAATACACCAATTTATAAATCCAAGTTGGAATTAGCAAAAGAAAGATTTTCATTCCTCTATTCTATCAATTTAGATTTAAAAATTGATCATATTATAATTATAGTTTATTGCTACTAAATATAATATGGATTTGTTCCCATCCATTTTTTTTATTATCTATTCTTTTTATAAAATGTTTTTTGATAATTTAAAATTAAAACCCAACCACCCCCACAACACTTTTTTTTTTTTTTGAGTTTCGAAAATATTTTATTTATTTTTCATGATTTGGGGAGATTATGTAGGCGTGCCACTAACCAAACAGACAGCCCCACGCCTTAAAAACTAATAAAAAATTTAATAAGTTTCGATTATTTCATTTTTAAACATCAGATCCTAGGACACTCTATTTGTTTATTAACTATAATTTTTAAAAAAATACATATATTATATACTTTAATTTCTTGAGGAGAGGGACTATATATATAAGGAGGAAATAAATAACAAAAACGTTTTATAAATTTTGCCCTGGAGGTTTTTTTTCATAGTGTTACGAATTTTCGATATCGAATAATTTTATCTTGATTAAAATTTGTCATTTATCCTTTGCTAGAATTATTATCACTATGTGAGTTTAATTATCCATAAATTATTAGGTGTTTATGTTATCTCCCTAGGATTATAACTCATATCAAATTAAAAATATAACTAATTAAATGCGTATAGAACTTGCTTAAGAGGCGTGTGAAAGAATCAAAAATTCTTAAGAAATTATGATAGTTCACGATAATTTTGTGAACATCAATAATTTAGATATGAAATTGGCATTTTAATGTTCACATAATTGTCATTTTCCTTTTAAGGGGTATTTTAATATGAGTTCAAGGACATTTGTGAACACTTATCATAATTTAGGTAAAATATGAAACTTATAAAATAGTGCGTTTAGAAGATTTTTAACCTATTTACTCATTAAAATACTAATATATATATGATAATAAGTGCCTTTTGTGCTCTTATTAAAAAGGTTGGAAAATGTTCACTATGTCAAATAAGATTATCTGAGTTAGTGCAATATGTGGTATATTTTATAAAGAACATTATTATAAATTTGCGATGTACTTATTTCGTGTATTTATATTTTTTTTACGATTTATAAATTATTATTTAAGAACATATTTATATATCTTCCTGCCGTTTTATAAAAAAAGGTTATATTTCTTTTATGTATATATATATATATATATTGGCATGGTGAGGATGGCTTAGTCCATAAAAATAGGAGCAAAAGCAAAACATACTTTGCTTATAACTTGTAAAGTTCGAGTCAAAACAATCAATTGTTTTACTTTACAAAAGAATAATTTTATTGACCATACAAACCCATGCTTTGTCTTTTTTCTTTGCTACAACTCTTAATAACTACGTACTCTTTTTAGGGTTCTTT